TTTGGTTTTTCGAGACAGGGTTTCTCTGTGGTTTTGGAGCCTGTCCTGGAACTAGCTCTTGTAGACCAGGCTGGTCTCGAACTCACAGAGATCTGCCTGCCTCTGCCTCCCGAGTGCTGGGATTAAAAGTGTGTGCCACCACTGCCCGGCTTATTTTATTTTATTAATGAAAATGCACAGTATGGGTCCAGATAAGGCAAAAACAGACACAGACATGTGATTTGAAACAAATGTATATTAGTGACGCATTTCTGAAGAGCAATTTAAAAAGTTTAAGATTACTAAAATGCTAAGTAGTCTGTTTTAGGGTAATATTAGCACATACTAGTAAAATGGCAGATAGTTTAATAATTTCAGAAATACTAAGTGTTGGTCAATATGACATATGATACAAATAAATATTTTAAAGAATTTGCATCCATCTGGAAATATGTTCATAATATTATTAAATTAAAATGGAAAATAAAAATCTGGCAAGATGGCTCAGCTGGTAAAGGTACAACCTGAGTTCAATTTTAAGAGCCCACATGGTGAAAGGAGAGAACTGACCAAACAAGTAATCCTCTGTCCTCCTTATGTGCACACATACATAGACACACACAAATGTTAAAAAACAAAAATATAGGATTCTTTTGGTCCACATTTTACATACAAAAATAACAAAGTAAAAGGATACATCAATCCATTTTCCTCTGGTATAATAGAATCCCTAAGGCCAATAATTTATAAATAACAAAGATTTACTTAGCTCAAAGCTTTGGAGATTCAACATGACACCCACCTCGACTCAGCTCCCACGAAGACTGCATCACCACATCACTGCACAGCAAAGGCTTCATAACCAACCAGAGCACTGGTGAGAAGGAAAAAGTCACATAGAATGGCAGGAAGTTGAAGAGCTAGAAAGGCCTGTCTCTTGTGGGGCCCACTCAGGGTCCTCTGAGAATTCCCTTCCAAGAGGGATATCCCTGATAACATAATCACCTCCCACTTGGCTCAGTGATGTTACAGGTCTTACCACCCATATATTGAGAATCAAGCCACCAACACGAGTCCTTGGAGTTAACTCTAAATCATATCAGAGAGAAAACATCCAGTAGTTATAGGTGTGGCCAGATTTAATACAACAGATCGACAATTGTGTATGTAAACCATCACAGGACTTGAAGACATGGTTTCCATCTTTTCAATGTAGCACAGCAGCCTTGTCTCCACTTTCTTCTAAATCTCACATTAAATAGCTATTTGGGGGGCTGGAGAGATGGCTCAGCAGTTAAAAGTTCTTGCTGTTCTGCAAAGGATCAAAATTCTGTTCTCAACTCCCACATCAGGTGGCTCACAACCACCTGTAGCTCCAGTTCCAGGGAGCTGAACACCTTCTGGCCTTTCTACTACCTTCATGCACATGGTTCACAGACAGACAAGCAAACACACACACACACACACACATTTTCATATAAATAGTATCCTTGTCTGGAATCCCACAAGAACGGAACTCCGATTAATGTAGTTCTAATTGAGTTAGATTGTTATACAAAGCCTCCACAATGAATGATGTTTATTTTCTATCCACTTTTCAACACCGTCCAACTTTCAATATCATAAGGAAAACCACTCTTCATGAACAGAAAGAAATAGAGTGAAAGGAAAGAAAGATGAAAGGAGAAAGAAAGAAAGTTGAGAAAGAAAGAAGAGATGAAATGACAAACAGACATTTCTTAGAATAAAACACAGCATGATCATTCTAAGATGAAGGTTTGTTATGAACAAACCCCCAGAAGCATGGTACCCTTGGATTATGGCTCAAAGTCTGGTATAATACCCACAGTGTATAGAGGAGCCAGGATGCTAGCAAATGGACCACTGGCGTCCCAGGAGGGCGTGATAGACAGAGTCTGAGTTTCCTGGTTGACTCACAACACACATTGAACACAAGCCTTAAAAGGACAGGTGTTTACAAGTCAAAGGCCTCGAGTTGGCATTTTGACATCTCGGAGCCTTGCTTTCCAATTGGGTAGTTATAATAATGGCAGTTATAAAGACATTGAATAAAAATCTTGTCAAGTAGTGCCAGGAACTCAAGTCAGATTGTCCCTCCAGATTCCTCACACTGCTCACAGTTCCAGTTCCCCTGCCCCTGCCACTTTGTAACAATGTATTTAAAGCTATGCCTGTCATACTTAGCTACACATACTTACTAATAGCTATTTCTTAAACACATCTGCCCCAGGCCTGAAAAGGAAGCTTAGGTTCATTTCTCTGAGTTAGTTACAGTCTGCGACTTCAATCCCCTGCATTGCTCTGATGCCTTCAGAAAGCAGCTCTTGATGTCATCTGAATGTTTGTGGAGATGAATATTTTGCTCTTTGGCATTTTCTTAATTTCATATTTGATTCCTGAGAAGAAAAAAAATAAGGGAAGGTGAGTCACCTTTGTAATTTAAACTTTGAATCATTCTACATGAAATTACAAAATGTTGACCAATTTTTACACTTCATTTTTGTCATAGTAAATAAAATTTTTTTAGTTTAAATTTCTTAATCATTTTACATACCAACCTCAGTTCTCCCTCTCACTCCTCCTTCTTCTCCCTCCTGAACCTTCTCCAACCAACCCCCCATTCATTCCTCTGAAAGGGTAAGGCCTCCCATGGGTAGTCAACAAAGCTCAGCACACTAAATTGAGGCAGGACCATGCCTTTCCCTGCTGCATCAAGGCTAAGCAGGCATCCCACCATAAGGAATGGGCTCCAAAAAGCCAGCTCATGCACCAGGTTCCACTGCCAGAGGCCCCTCAAACAGACCAAGTTACAAAACTGCTACCCACATGCAGAGGGCCTAGTTCCGTTCCATGCAGGCTTCCCAGCTGTCAGTCCATAATCTGTGAGCTCCTACTAGCTCAGGTCAGCTGTCTCTGTGAATTTCCCCATCATGATCTTGAACCCCTTTGCTCATATAATCCCACCTTCCTCTCCTTGACTGGACTCCCAGAGCTCGGCCTGTAGGTTGGCTATGGATCTCTGCATCTCTTCCATCAGTTACTGGATGAAGGTTCTATGATAAAATCTAGGGTACTTAGAAATCTGATGACAGGGGAAGGCCAGTTCAGTCATCCTCTCCACTGGGGTCATCTTTGTGGATTCCTGGGAGTTTCCCTAGCACCAGGTTTCTCTCTATCAAGAGTCTCTTTCATTGCTCTTGCACTCCGTCCCTCCCCCAACTTGACCAACCATTCCCTCATGTTCTCATCCCTCATTCCCTCCCCTTGCCGCCCCCACCCTCAGTTTACCCAGGAGATCTCATCTATTTTCCCTTCCCAGGGCAATCCATGCATTCCCTCTTAGGGTCCTTCTTTATCAAATGTTTTTATCTCTACCAGAAAACAAAGCTGACAGTTGTCCTAAAAGTAACTGTGATAGATGAAACCAAACATGCCCACAGGAAAGCTGCAGAGTCAACAGTTATTTCAATACTTAGGGGTGTGGAACCCCCCCCCCCACCAAGAGCTCCAGATTTATTTGTGACAGGGATGGATAGATTGCTTCTTCTTTCTGTGCATGTTCTGTTCATTAAGAGTAAAAAGGGGACAACACTAAAGATATTAACTAAACAGATTCAATATCCTGTTAGAGCTAGGATGAAACAATTCAAAACCAATAATGTAGCCTTTCCCACTTCAGTGATAGTTTGAAGTATTTATACCAAAGAAACTAATAAATGCTACAAATCAGGACATTCTTTGGAAAGACGGTGTCTTACTAGTGTCACATTATTTATAATATCCTCATTTAATGAAGTATTAACCTACTCTCAGTAATAACACCAAAAATCATTACAGAATCATTAAGTGTATGCAAAAAGATGAACTTGGACCCTCACTTATATCATACACAAGAATTAACCAGAGCCCAGCTATTATACAACAGCAAGAGCTGAATATCCCAATGCAGCCAAAGTACAAGAAAATGACCTTAGAAACAACTTTATGAACATGATAGAGGTCCTTAAAGAGAAAACAAAAAGCTCCTTTATAGAAATAGAGGAAACGACAAGAAAAAAATGAAAGAAATCAATAAATCCCTCAAAGAATGTCAAGAAAGTCAATAAAAATAAACAGGTAAAGGAAACTATTCAAGACCTGAAAATCAAAACAGAAACAATAAAGAAAATACAAACTGAGGGAATTCTGGAAATGGAAAGTCTGGGCCAGCACATAGGAACCACAGATGCAAGCATTATCAACAGAATACAAGAGATGAAAGATAAAATATCAGGCACTGAAAATTTGATAGAGAAAATAGATTCATTGGTCAAAAATTGCTAAATCTAAAAAACTCCTAACAAACATCCAGGAGATCTGGGATGGTATAAAAAGAAAGTAACCTAAGAATAATAGGAATAGAAAAGGATCCCAGCTCAAAAATCCAGAGCACTTATTTAACAAAATCATAGGAGAAAATTTTCCTAATCTGAAGAAGGACATGCCTATAAAAATAGAAGAATCTTACAGAACACCAAATAAATTGAGTCAGAAAGTTCCCATGCCACATAATAATCAAAACACTAACCAATAGAATAAAATAAGACTATTAAAAGCTACAAGGGAAAAAGGTCAAGTAACATACAATAATAGACCTATTATAATTAAACCCAACTTCTCTGTGGAGACTGTGAAAGCCAGAAGTGACTAGACAGGTATTTTGGAGACTCTAAGAGACTATAGATGCCAGCCCAGACTTCTGTACACAGCAGAACTCTCAATCACCATAGATAGAGAAAATAAGATATTTCATGACAACGTCAAATTTAAAAAAATATTTAGCCATATATCCACTCCTTCAGAAGGGACCAGAAGGAAAACCCCAGCCCAAGGAAGTTAACTACACCCATGAAACTACAGGCAATAAA